AAAAAAATGCAGCTCTGGCCCTGGCCAGTTGCTCAGTGGTTAGAGCATTGGCCGGGAAGGCAAGCAATCAATGCGTCTCTCTCACATTGATGTTTCTCTCACTCTCTCTCTCCCTTTCACTTCCATTCTCTCTAAAAACCAAAAAGAAAAAAAGAGAGAGAGAGAGATAATAAAAATATAAAATGTATTCTTAGCTCATAGGCTATACAAAAAACAAGTGGCCAGACCAAATGTGGCTCACTGGTCAAAGCAGCCAACCACTTACCTATACTATAAACTTTTCCTGAAAATATGTACAACTTTTTATTTCTTAAATACTCAACAGTAAAAAGACAACTCAAGAAATAGCCAAAAGAATTAAACAGACATTTCTCCAAAGAAGATATACAAATGGCAAAATAACCACAAGAAAAGCTGAACAACATCATTATCCATCAGATAAATGCAAATCAAAACAATAGTGAGATACCATTCACATCCACTATGGCTATCCTATATAATAAAAGGCTAATATGCAAATTGACTGAACGGGGGAACGACTGGTGGCTATGACGTGCACTGACTGCCAGGGAGTAGATGCTCAACGCAGGAGCTGCCCTCTGGTGGTCAGTGCGCTCCCATAGAGGGAGAGCTGCTCAGCCAGAATTCAGGCTCAAGGCTGGCGAGCGCAGTGGCAGTGGCGGGGAGCAGGCCTAAGCCATCAGTAGGACATCCTCTGAGGGCTCCCATACTGCAAGAGGGCACAGGCCAGGCTGAGGGACGACCTACCCCCAACCCCAAGTGCACGAATTTCATGCACCGGGCCTCTAGTAATAATATATAAAAAAAGTGGGTGGAGGGTAAGGAATAACAAGTATTGGCAAAGAGGTGAAGAAACTGGAACCTACATATAATTTAGTGGTTCCTCAATAAGTTAAACATAGAATTACCATGTGATCTAGCAACTTCATTCCTAATTATACAAAAGAATTGAAAACAGATGTTCAAACTTGTGTGTTAATGTTTATAGCCGTTATATTCACAACTAGATGCCCAGTGCATGGATTCATGCACCAGTGGGGTCCCTTGGTCTGGCCTGTGGGGATCAGTGGACTTCCACACTGCTGCAGCCCAGCCTTACCTGCCAGCTTGTCGGGCTTCAGCCCACTGTCCCTGTTGATCTGCACAGCACAAAGCAGTGTGAGAAGTGGCAGGTGGCCAGGGAAAAGCCCGAGCTGGGGCCAGGCACCATGCCGCTCCTGCTCCTCCCGGCCCCGCTGCACCTGCTGCCGCTGCCCAGTAGGCTGGCTGCTGCTTTGCTGCTGTCTCCGTGCGCCCGTCCCAGGGAGATACTGGCACACCCATGATTGCACAACCACTGCTCGTTATCACAGCCTTGCTCCTCGCACCCAGTCAGTCCTGATGCCAGGACCAGGAGCCATGAGCCCCATGTCCATTGGTCAGCTGAGCAGCCCTCCCGCTGGGGAATGCACTGACCAACAGGGGGCAGCTCCTGCGTTGAGTGTCTGCCCCCTGGTGGTCAGTGCACATCATAGCTACCAGACGACCGGTTGCTTAGGTTTTTATATATATAGGTAGATAGATAGCCATAAAATGTAAAGCAACCCAAAAGTCCATCAATAGATAAGTGGATAAACAAAATGTGAAATATAGCCATACAATAAAGTATTGTTTAGCCATTGAAGAAATGAAATGCTAATACATGCTACAACATGGATGTGCCCTGAAAACATTACTATGCTATGTGAAAGAAGCCAACAGAAAGACCACATGCTGTATGAGTCCATTTATATGAAATGTCCACAAAAAGCAAATCCATACAGACAGAAAGTAGATTACTGGTTGCCCAGGGTTGGGGGGCATGGGGGTAACTACTAATGGGTACAGGGTTTCTTTTTGAGGTGATGAAATATTCTGGAATTAGACAGTGGTGATGAACATACAACTGTGTGAATATACTAAAACCACCGAATTGCACACTTTAAAGGGGTAAATTTTATGGTATGTGAATTTTAAATAAAAAAATAATTAATTTAAAAAGTATATGGCAAAATATTATTCAATTTTAGAGATTTCATTAAGGAATTACTGTGTTTCTTAGCTATGAAACAAAAGGGAGTATTCAAGTTGTATTACATGTTGTATCCATGTCAAATAACTACACGAGTTTTTTCTTTGTGTATGTTTTTAAGTTTATGGACTTTATAGTAGCA